ATGGAAATGATGATTTAATTAATAGTAAGACCAAAAAATATAAAGCTCTATGTCAAAAGAGTCTTCATTTCAGATGACTTTGATGGAGAATTGGTAAGCTTTATGCTAGAATAATGTGTCTAGTTTATCAAATATGCTTTTGATGAGTCTTAATATGTCCTTGTCACCTCTTGGTAGTTTCCTAGATATATGAGCTTTATAAAAGGTGTTGTGGATTCAAGTGACCTTCCTCTTAACGTCTCTCGTGAGATTCTCCAAGAAAGCCGAATTGTAAGGGTTTCTGTCTTTGTTTTTTAATTTTTTAAAAAATAAAACTATAATTTACTCCACTATTATTGAAGATTTTAATAATATTTTTCCCATTTATTTTTCATTGATTAAAGGTGAGAATTATGCGGAAACGATTGCTTAAGAAGGCCTTTGACATGATCCTTGGCATATCAATGAGTGAGAACAAAGATGTAAGTAAACAAAGATGAATTTAATTATGTTTTTTTTTTCTTTTCTGACTTGACTAATCATCTCTGACACTGGTCCATGTACTAGCCACTAGGTGCATATTTAACATACAATGATATCAATTTGTTAGACTGAACAACAATTCCTTGTCATGTAATACCTTTTTCCAATTTCTTAAAATGATTTATGCCTTCTATCACTTCTTTATTGTAGGATTATGAGAAGTTCTGGGAGAACTTTGGCAAACACCTGAAATTGGGTTGCATCGAAGATCGTGATAATCACAAACGTATTGCACCTCTGCTACGATTCTTCTCATCTCAAAGTGAACAAGAGATGATAAGCTTAGATGAATATGTAGAAAACATGAAACCTGACCAGAAGGATATCTATTACATTGCTTCTGACAGTGTAACTAGTGCCAAAGATACACCTTTCCTTGAAAAGCTTTTGGAGAAGGATCTCGAGGTAGAAATCCCTCTTACCTTACTTATTCAGCTTTCAGTTCCTTCCTTGTAGTGGTTGCTATTTGTTGGCTTGGCATACTGGCATGGTTTACGTCAATGTAAACTGTTCGTCTGTTTACACTTAACAGGTACTCTTCTTAGTTGAACCCATTGATGAGGTTGCCATTCAGAATTTAAAGGCATACAAGGAGAAGAACTTTGTGGACATCAGCAAGGAAGGCTTAGACTTAGGTATGCACATTGGTGTCTCTCTCTCTCTCTCTCTCTCTGGCATGCTTCAACTTATAGTGGCTTGCTGATATCCCCATAGATCATCATTTGTGGTTGGGGGGTGGGGGGTGGGTACATTTAGCATGCCAAGTATTATCAAGAGTAGGACCTTAGGTTTGAAGTGGAAACTCCTAGTGGCTTCCTATTACTCTATTAGCCCCATAGACCACCCCAACATTTGCCTGTTTTCTGGAGGGTGAGAAGGGGAAGTTATTAGGGTTTTTTGCCCAATATTGTGGTATCTGATCAAGAGTTGCATTTGGTAAACAAAAATTTATATAGAATTGCAATTTTGACATTGTTGCAGGAGGGGAAAATGCGGAGAAAGAAACAGAGGTGAAACAAGAATTTGGAAAAACTTGTGACTGGATTAAAAAGCGACTGGGTGATAAAGTTGCTAGTGTCCAAGTTTCTAATCGTTTGAGCTCTTCACCATGTGCTCTTGCATCTGGTAAATTCGGTTTTTCAGCTAATATGGAAAGGTTGGTGTTTTTTTCTTTTGGGCATAGCTTTTCATTTTAATATCTTATTACCTATCAGTGGAAGATGAACAATGATATTGGCCTTTGCAGGTTGATGAAGGCACAAAATTCTAGCGGTTCAAGTCCTCTTGAATTCATGAAAAGTAGAAGGGTGCTTGAGATTAATCCTGACCATCTGATTATCAAAACTTTGCATGTACGTAAATTTGGTGAATATTTATGTGTTCTGACTGTATGTAGTGTTTATCTACTAGTGTTTAAGATGATCGTCTCTTTTGCTCTACAGTCTGCGTACAAGAGTGGTTCAGAGGATGAAGAAGTTCTTAGAGCTGTTGATCTATTATATGATTCAGCACTAATCTCCAGTGGTTTCACTGTAAGTTAAATTGGATTCTTGTCTGGATGCATGTGTTTATTTTGGGCATTTTGTCTTGTTTGTGGATTTTCTATTTTTTTTTGGGTAAATTTAATGGATATAGTCAAACTCTCATCTGTTCTATCTCAAGTAAATATAAAAAAACATACTTGTAATTAAAACCTGCCTTTTGATTCAGAAAGTTTTTTTTATTTTTTTTATTTTTTTTTATTTATATATATATATATCAGAGATTCAGAGTTCTTCAAACAAAGCTCGGTGTATTCTTGTGTCTTTCGAGTGTGAACCCCATATAAGTGTTGCATGCATGTACATTAGTTTGTACTTTGTACAGTCCTTGTGATTACTATAGGATTGTAATTTCATAACAGAGGAGATTATTCTGAAGACATTTTTCTGCGTAGCCTACTAGCCTCCCCATGAGAACTTACTAGTTTCATCATGTAGTCTTGTGCTGTCTGCAAGAGTTAATTTGCACAATATTTTTATTTTTATTATATAGTTTCTTGACGGCATGTTTTTGTGCAGCCTGAAAACCCTGCAGAAGTTAGTGGAAGACTATATGATTTGTTGGGCGCAAGTTTATCAGAAAAATGGGTTCATCACTTGATGCTCAGCAGCCACAAGAATCCTGAGATAGTTGAAGCTGAGGTAGTCGAGCCAGTTGAAGCTGGTAATCAGAAATGAAGGACCAGACAGTTTGTAAAACTCTCTTATCGAAATAACATATTGAATTAGAAAATTGTCACTACACTGAAGCTATGCTTGCAATTGTGTAGATGATAGCTGGACAATTTTGAGTGTTATGAATTATGACCTACTTGAAAGATCTCAATTATAATATCGAAGTGTCTTCCTACATACATACTGATCTAATCGTATGTGAAATTTGTACTTTATGCTACTTTTTCATCATAAAAATATAAGCGATTTGTTTCGGTTGTTAGTTCTAAAATTGGATGATAAATGCATCTGATCATAGAAAAAATTAAGCTATTAACAAGTTTTATGTCTACACTACAATATACCTGGAAAATTTGATCAGTATTAACTATTAAGGTGATGCGATCTGGGCTATCTCATTGAAAATAGAAGTACCAAGGCAGGAGATACCGAGATATGGACTACAGAAGTACAGGTATGGAATCTATCGAGCGGGAGTTTCTCCGGCTATTGGTTAGCTTTTAAGGTCTCAAGTAATATAATCTTAGATGTTATAACGGATGCAAGAAAGAACAAATATTGAATGTAAAATTAAAGAGAAAAACATACATAGATTTACGTGGTTCACCAACAATGTGTTGACTATGTCCACGGGTAGGTGAGACTGTGAGAGTAATAGTTTTATTGACCTTGGGGAATACATATTACAGATTCATAACAGATTTGAGACCAATCACAGAAATAGATTGATTGTCTCTCAGATTTCTAATGTCTCTCTTAGATCTCAGAGATGAGAAATACACAAAAGACTCTCGGATTTCTGAATAACCACTCAACTTATCCAGTTAGGAGTAATCCTAAGGGGTATATATAGAGAACTCTCCAAAACATAAACTGAATTTGAGCTAAAGCCCAATCAATAACCACATGGACCGAAATAATACGACCGTGTACCTTGAACCCACACGACCGTGTGACAATGTCTTGTAGTAGCGGAACTACACGATCTTGTACCATGAACCACATGGCCGTGTATATTGAAGAGTAAAATAAAAACACTAATTACACGATCATGTACAATGGACTACATGATCGTGTACTACTCGATCATCAATTCAAGGCATATTCCTACCATAAGATTAGATAGATTCAAACAAAATAACTTTAGGTTAGAAGTATTTCTTTTGGTCCAATATTCTTCGCTAGTTATATAGATGTTACAATGATTATTAGAGTAGTGCTTATTATTTCAAATTCCTATGGAAAATATCTAGAGATGACTATAAGTTTGTCCAATTGGATGTCATGCAATATAATCTACATACCTAACATACTTTCAAAATATATTCACTTATTTATATACTTCATTTTCACGTTGTGTGATAGAATGGTCACAAGGTATACTCTCGCAAATTTTTAATCTGTATAATTTTTATAATTACAAAATTAAAGTTAATTAGCTTTGCAAGAATTGTGAAATGTAGAAGGTACAAGATAAGGTAATCTTGAAGTGCATGTTTCTTGATTGAAGAAAATTGTTGGCCAATTTAATTTGTTAGTGATTGCCAATTTTTGTCTGGGCCCCGAAATGTGCAACGCGCTCTAGCCTTTTAGCGGCAAGAACGCTAACTTTGTGCGGAAGAGGGGCTTGTGAGCACAAAGCAACACAAGCGAACAATCTCACGTCTATCTGGGCGGCGGAGTGCGGTGGTCGGGGCTTGTGACGGCCGATACTTCAAGGCAGGCACAAGTGGGTCCGAACCACGAATTCTTAGTGCATCTAGTTGGTGTGGAGGGGAGCTATTATACAAGTAAGATACAATATCTGTAAAGTTCAAACAACAATCTATATCTATACTTAGTATTTAAAAACTATAACCAAGGAAAACACATGTCTCCATCCTATTGCACTTCAATATCTTTTTCTCTAATCCAAATGACACATGTATTCTTACATCATTAATTAATTTTTTTTATTACACTATATTTCTTTAATTCTTCCATGTACATTTTATCTTCATCTTCCCTATTCCATTCAAGCTTTTGCTTTTCTCTCTTTTAATTTTAGGGATTTGTTAAACATCGCCCGCAAATCTCCACATAAAGCCCACAAATTAGACATGGTTTGACAATTTTGCCCATTTCTATAATCGTACCCAAAGTGAACAAATCTCGATCTAACAAATGTGGAGTCGTACTGGGTTGCCCAGGGAGGCCGGAGAGGCGAGGGTCGCCGGAGATACGTCGTCTTCGACGGAAAAACGAGGTGGCGCCTAGTTTGGACGCCGGAAACCATGGCAAGGACGTCCAGGCAAGGCGCCACAACCAGTGCACTGGCGTCTAGCCCAGGCGCCTCAACCAGTGCACTGGCGTCAGGCCAGGCGCCACCACCAGTGCACTGGCGTCTGGTTTGGACGCCGCCCTTACTTTTTAATTTTTTTTTTTTTTTTGCCTTTTTTTAAATTATGTTTATTAAATTTATGTTTTGATTTAGAATGTGGAAATTTATGTTTTTTATTTGATTTTATAAAAAATATATATACTAGACTTATATAAAATAACACATAAAATTAATAATTATTAAAAAAAAAAAATCAAACACATTAAAAAAAAAAAATTAGAAAAATTTTCTGATTTTCCAAAAAAAAAAAAAAAAATTAAAAAAAAAAAAAAATTAAGGCAGCTGGGGCGCCTGGCCAGGACGGCCCGTGGCTGGTGGTGGCGCCAGGTCCGGCAGCCACGTCCACCGGCCTGGCGTCTGGGCAGGACGCCCAGCCACAGTGACTGGCGCCTGTCCCAAACGCCACTCACCGTGGCTGGGCGTCCTGCCCAGACGCCAGGCCGGTGGACGTGGCTGCCGGACCTGGCGCCACCACCACCTTGCCGCCACGAGCCACCACTACCTTGCCGCCACGAGCCAACCACCTTGCCGCCAAGAGCCTCGACATCCCCGTACTTTGATTTTTATTGAGCTGTGTTTTTTTTTTAAGGTCAAGGGCAATATTGTAACTTCAATATAAGTTTGTGGCTTTATGTGGAGATTTGCGGGCGATGTTTAGCAATCCACTAATTTTAACCACTCCACCCTTTTTCTCTCTTTAATTTTAACCCCTCCCTTATTTAATCCCATTTTCATTTACAATGCCAAAGATTAAATTTCTTTAATCATATTATTTATCACACATTATGACCATAGTGGCTTATTGATATTTCATAATTCATCTTTCAATGCAATTTTTTTATGAATAACCCGTGCATTGTACGGGTCAAAAGACTAGTTAAGCATAAAAGCAAGGCAACACTTGGTAGAAGGGTTAAGATTTCATTTAATAGGATTTATAAAATTATTTAACTATAACATCAATTTAACAATTAATATAAACAAAAGAATTACATTTATTAAAAAAAAATAAAAAATACCTATATAGACATCAAGGTTTTCTTTTTTTTCCCTTTTATTTCTTTTTTTTTCTTTTTTTTTTTTTTTTTTGACAATGATGCATGTAAGGCTGTAAAGGCTATTGATGTATTAAACTTTGTGAATATGAAGAAAAAAAAAAATAGAAGTTATTGATTATTTAGAACCCATGCTATATACCACCCTATCATGTCCCTATTTTGTTGACACAGTTTGACATACACATTGGTTTGTACAAGGGGTTTTTTTTTTTTTTTAACTTTAACTTTATTTTTTTATATATATAAATCAAATACGGAGTATTAAAAAAATGAGTGACCCCATCATAGATTTATATTATACTATATAAGTAAGCTGAGGAATTAAAAAAAAAATTAGTATGAGAATATGAGATTATTATAGAAGTAAGACTTTTCCTAATAATAATATCAGCATGAGAATATTATAGAAATATTAGTATGAGAATATTATAGAAATCTTGGACAATATTACGAAAATTACTTAATATAAAATTATACATATTAGAGTATTTCATTAAGAGAATATTATAGGCTATACATACTCTTCATGAAGAATTGACCAAAAAAAAAGGAAAGGAAAAATGGAGGAAAATTTTTTAGCTAGTGAATGACATGTATCATCACTGGTTTCGCTTTTATTTAGTTTTAAGTTATTGGTTGATTGTCTCACTACATATATTAGGCGAAATCAAAGTTGTATAGGTCGGATCATGTAAACCCATATGTCTTGTATGAAAATTCATACAAAATTGTGTCTTATTGATTTTTCATAAATAGAATTTTATGTATGGCCCGACTCACGTGTTGCACTATGCTAATAAAGGTCAGTCTCTTCGGCTTAATTTCAGTTCAGTTCATCTCTAATCAATTTAGTTCAGTTCAGTTCCTAATTTCCTTCTCTCATAAACAATTTAGTTCAGCTCATTCAAGTTCAATTCATTTCGGCTCCAATCATTTCAATTCAGTTCAGTAAATCAGAACAGGCCCTTAGTAAGTCAATTGTCTTATTTGTCTTAAATTTTTAAAATGATGTCGATGCACAAGCCACAATACAACAATGTGTTATGTGCCTCTCTCGTGTTGTACTAGACTAATAAAATTCAAAGTGATTAGGGGATTTTTCCCCACCAATCACCATTTGACAAGTGGACCCATCAGGTTCTGCCATGTGTCCGTCACATGGGCCAGTAGGAGCCTGCCACGTGTCAAGCAATGATCCGTCCACTATGGACCAATTACGACACGACACGTGTCCATCCCATGACACCTGGGATAACCGGTCACCTAGGCCCAACTTCCGAGGGAAGCCCAATCAGCCCAAGGTTAACCTAAACCTAGATTGGCACGTTTCCCGAGGTTATAAATACCCCCCTTAATCCTCATTAGGGGGGGAACACGCTAAAAACGCAGATTATACACATTAAACACTCTCACCTAGAGAGACCCAATCACTTTAATTTCCGCATTAATTACTCCTTAATCAAGTACTAACTTGACCGTCGGAGGCAGATCTCCAATCATCCGGAGCATCCGTTTGTTTTGCAGGTACAGGCGTCCGGTTCCAGTCTCGGAATTGTAACTCTCCC